TGCCCAGGCGGGTCTCGAACCTGTGGGCTCAGGCAATCCACTCACCTCAGCCTTCCAAAGTGCTGGGATTACAGGCTGAGCCACTGAGCCCGGCTAATCCTTAGTCTATAAAAGCAGTGTTCCTGGGGCTGGGACATGATGGCCACCAAACATCTATAAACTTATAAATCATCCTAACATGGGCTAAGGATCATGCTTGATAAGAAGTGGACAAGGTAAGGGATCACAGTCACTCCACTGTGGGGTTGTGTTAAAGATGGGGAGTGATCGTTTTCTTGCTGCCTTGGGAAGCTGTGAGCCAGCCTGGGTCATTACAGATTATTAATGTTTGATTCTGTCAGTGCAGGTGGTCCTTGATCTTCAAGGAGGCCAAATCCAGAGGTATAAATCCCTTCCCTTCCCTCCTTCCTTTGATGAGAAGGGATTTGAATCTGGAAGATCTGGGTTCCCATTCTTGCTCTGACATCTTCCAGGGGGCACACGGGTGAGCTGCTGTTTTCTCAGACTACTGTGAAACCACACTAGGGCTCATGCTTGGGTCCACTCCACAACCACACCATGGATCACGGCATGGGGCATTTTTCCAGATAAGATGAGACTATGCATGTAAAACAGTTAGCATTCATCATTCATTCATTTGCCCACCCATCCATTCATTCACTTATCCACCTGCCCATCATCCATCCAACCAACCACGCATCCATTCATTCATCCACCCACCCACCCATGTCTCCATCCATCCATCCCTGCATGCATCCATCCATCCACTCACCCGTCCATCCAAACACCCACCCATCATTCATTCATCCATCCATTCATTCACTTATCCCCTGCCCATCGTCCATCCAACCAACCACGCATCCATTCATTCATCCACCCACCCACCCATGTCTCCATCCATCCATCCCTGCATGCATCCATCCATCCACTCACCCGTCCATCCAAATACCCACCCATCATTCATTCATCCATCCATTCATTCACTTATCCACCTACCCATCGTCCATCCAACCAACCACGCATCCATTCATTCAGCCATCCACTCACCCGTCCATCCAAACACCCACCCATCATTCATTCATCCATCCATTCATTCACTCATTCATTCATCCACCCACCCATTTAGCATCCATCCATTTATTTATTTTTTATTCATCAGATGTTTACTAGGCATCTTCTCTGTGTCAAGTGCCAGAGAGATGGGTGTACACAAAATAAGATTCTTGCATTAAAGAAGCTCACATTCTAGAGGGTGGAGGCAGGCAACAACCAAGGAAACAAGTAAGTAAACAAACATAACGACAGATGATGGTGTTCTAAGGGAAATACGCTGATGTGAGAGAAGCTAAACTGGAAGGAAGGGGCGTGACTCTAGCTGGGGGGTCAGGGAAGGTCTCTGAGAAGGTAGCATTTGAACAGAGACCTGAAGACTGAGAAGGAACCCGGCAGGAAGGTGGGTGATGGGTAAGAAGCAGAAAGTGCAGGTGAAGCCACTCAACACAGTTCTTCCTCCTACCTCCCTACCTTCTTTCTTCCCTTCCTTCTTAGGGTCACCTTTCCAAAGCGGCCCTTGGGGCAGGCACACGTGCTGCCCAGCTTGGAACACTTCTCTGTTCCCCATAGACTCCAGCCTTCCTGACAACCAAGGGGTTTTCTTTCTCACACCCCCCATCCCCCAATGACTGGGATCCCAAAGGCAGGTGCACTCCTTGCCGTGGCTGGTCACCTATGGATGGAGGGAGGACTGTATCCTCACCCCAGGCCTGGCCTGCCCACCCTGCCCCTTGCACTGAATGCCACTCACCCAGCCAGCGTAGTAGACGGATGGATTTCATGTTGAAGCTCATATAGGTGCGAATAAAGATCAACGTGGTGACCAGGGTGAAGATGAGGGCCAGGACACGAAGCACACCTGCAGAGCAAGGAGACGCTGCCAGGAGATCACAGCACCAGACCATGCAGCAAGGTCACACGTAAGTCCTTCCCAGGTTCCCACAGTGAGACCACGTCATGGGACCCCATGTTGTAGGCTCAGACTACACCCACACTGGGGACCAAATCTCAGGACCATGAAGTGGGACCATGTGTGAGTCATTCAGTGGGCAGATGGTGAGATTATGCTGCTAGATTTTGGGGCAATATTCCCCCAATATTTCTCAGGAGAGCAAGTTAAAAAGGCTCCTTCCTGGCTTCCGTTAGACCTTCAGGGAGAGAATCTCTAGGAATGAGGACTGGGAGTCTGCACTTTTATACAGGCCCCTTAGGTGAAGTCTGAGAACTGCAGCAGGGGAGCAGGAGAAAGGCTCTGGGAAGGGAGCCCTACAACAGGAGTCGAGAAGGTTGTGGCCAGTGCTCAGGGCAGTCAGTGGTGCTGTGTGGCTTCAAGCAGGAGCTCAGCCTCTCTGAGCTGGAGTCCCTCAGTCACCGAGCAGACATTGCAATGCCCTTGCTCCTGAGCTCATAGCTAGTTAGGAGGGATGTTGTAGGTGTCAACAGCTGGCAGCCTCCAGGGTGGCTTGGGGGTGGGGCTGGCACCCCACAGTTTCCATCAACCTCCTTCATAATCACAACAAATAACCACACACTGGACTTGCTGTGCAGCTCCGTGATACAACACAGCTCCCTATCCTCTGCCCAACTTACAGCCAGATTGTTCCCTAATGTCCTCACATCATTGGAGAAAGACCCCCCCCCCAAGGATAAGCCTCCTGGAGCTCCTCCCATGCCCATTCCTTACAGGGACCAGAAAGCAGGTTTCATCTCCTCTCCCTGCCACCTTCAGAGTCGGACCCATCCGGCCTACTCTGACCCTCAGGGTGCAGGCCAAGGCCTGGTGCTCCTCCCTCTGACCTCCTTGTCTGCAGGTCCCTTGCTTCTTAGCCCTGAATTCAGTTCTGTGGCCTTGTGCTAGTTTTTGGCTACTCGGGGTGAGAAAGAAGGCCTTATGGGGTGTGGGTCTGTGGGGATTCTTTGTCTTCTAGGGCACAGCTTTGGGTGCTTTCCTCTTGGATGCCAACTCACATTTACCCAGCACTCATTCTGTGCCAGGCACCGTTGTGAGCAACTTCTAAATACACGATCTCAGCTCATTCTCCCAGTAACCCTGTGTCCTGAATAATACTGATTACCCCCATTTTACAGATGTGGAAACTGAGGCTCAAAGTGACGGAGTAAGTGACTGAGGTGGGGTTTGAACTCAGAGAAGTAAGCTGACTGTGAAACTTGTGCTCCTGACTCCTCACAGCTGTTTGGGAATATAAATGAGGCAAGAGCACTTCTTGTTTGGTGCTTCAGTGTCCCTATCTGTACACAGGAGGTACAGTATGAGGGTGTGGACTAGAAGGATTTTGCCATTCTCATGCCCAGTCTTATGGTATGAAGATCCTAGAATAGCCCTCCTTGAGGTAGGTATTTTGTCCCTAACTTTCAACCAGGGCCAGATGTTTCCAAGATGGGGCCAATCTCCGTGATCCCAGCCAGGTGGGGCAAGTGTGCTTAAGTTTCTTCTGCCCTTCCACCTAGAGACAGCAAGTCACCTCTTCTACTCTTCCCTCCTGGAATTCTGGCCTATTTGAGAACAGGTACAGTCACACCACCTCTGAGCCCAGGATGGGTAGACACAGCTGATGAAAAACGACTCCAAAACCAATTTCAGAGTCACACCTGGAGACCCTCAGAACCTGGGCTCACCTGATACTCTCATCCTCTCCAGGTGAAGAGCAGCTTGGGGTTGGTGTTAACCTGTGGAGAGAAGAAAGTCAAGTTGGAAACTGGCCTCAGGTCTGAAGATGAACAAGACTGGATTAGGGACAGGGACCTTTATGAGGAGATCATAATTCTTCAGTGGGCTTCCTCACCGCCTGTCGTGTGAATAGGGGGCAACTTTCCTCTCCCCTCTCTGCTTCCACCTCTCCACTCTTGCTCCTGGAACTTTATATTCAACTTACCATGTTTCTTTTAAGTGCAGAGATCAGAAAGTAGAGGAGGGTGCAGTCTGGTAAACTGATGTCCTTTGGAGGATTTGATTTATTTGCTCATTCATCCATCCATTTGTTCATCTGTCTGCCCACTCACCTATCCATCAATCTGTTGACTGGTTCATCCACCTGCCCAGCCACCCACACAATTACTCATCCACTCATCCACTCACCGCTCCCTCCCTCCCTTCCTTTTTCCTTCCCTCCCTCCTTCCTCTCTCCATCCTCCTTCCCTCTCTCTCCTTCTGTTCATCCATCCTTCTCTTGTGTCCATCCACTTCTTTCTCCCTTCCTTCCCTCTCTCCCTCCCTTCCTTCGCTCTTTGTTCCTTCATTCTTCTGTTCCTTCCATCCCTCCAGCCAGCCAGCCAGCCAGCCAGCCAGCCAGCCAGCCAGCCAAGAGATTTTGAGCTAGGTAGCCACAGTCAAACTATCTGGGATCAAAAGCTCAAGTGATCTTTGTTGATCTTTGTAACAAAATGAAGAGTAATCAGGACTTGCACATGACAAGTGAGTTTGGCCAGGTGTAGTCTGCTTTACCTCCTTTAATCCTCACAACCTTCATTTTAGGGACAAGTAAGCAAGACCCACCATGATTCAGTCCAGGGTGGAAGCCAGAATTGGATGCAGGTCTCTAGCTGCTGGACACTCCCTGACACTCCACTCAGGGTCCCCTTGCCAAAGCTCTGGGTCTCAGAGGAGGGCTGAAACCAAAGTTCCCTCCCTTCTTGAGTCCTGGGAAGAGGCAGTGTCACCCTCCTGCCTACTGCTCCCTGTGTCATCCTCCCTTGTGCTGGGCAGTTACCAGTGATTGTTCTGGGTCTCACATCCCCATCAGCCAGCCTGTGGGCAGCAGGAGGCCTTCTCTGACTGCTCCTGGCATTCTTTCTGTCCCCCTCCCCAGAATCTTCTTTATCCATCTCAACAGACATGGTCTCCAAAGCCCAACCACCAAGGGCTCAGACCTGAGACAGGAGACCAGGACGAAGGCCTAGCACTGCCCCCAACACCCTCTTCTACCCTGGGCAAGACTCTTCACCCCTGCACAAGTCTGTTCGCCCCTGAGGTCTCCCCATATGCACATGAAGGCGCTTGGGCTAGCTCAGCCCTGCATATTATAGCAGCAGCAACTGCAAAAACCACTTCTCCTTTTGCGAATTACAGCAGTTCTCCCATCACCCCCATGCTGATCCTACTCCCCGGGCCTTCCAGATTGGAAAACTGAACTCTCGCCTGGCTCTACCCACAGAAACATTGAGAAACTTTAACATCCTGAAATTCAAATTATAAACATCTTTTTTCCCCAGACATGAAAGTATTTCATAGTCACGACTGGGCTTGGGATGTGACCTGTTGTCCAGGAGTCCGGCCCCCTGGATAAGACTTGGGCATTCTGTGGGGTTCCATGTGTGGAGGAGCCAGGAGAGCTGAGGACTGGACAGGTTGGAGGGACAGGGACAGGGTCAGAGTGAAGGAGATGGATGGACAGACAGATATGAATATTCACAGAGAGGGTGTGCATGGAGATAGAATAGACCTGGTCAGGGACAGGGGTGAACGGGCATGGGGGAAGGGAGATACAGAGAAAGAGAGAAAACTAAAAAAACAATACAGAGGACGGGAGAGAGAGAGAGAAAGAGAGAGAGAGAGAGAGAGAGAGAGAGAGAGAGAGAGAGAGACTGTAAGAGGAGGAATGGAGGATGAGGAAGAGAGGGAGACAATTCGATATGCACATACACAGATCCAGAGAGAGACAGAGAAGAGAGAGACAGGGATGGAGATAGAGGGTGGGGTCACAACCTGGGCAGGGGGCTAACCTCTAGTTGTCATGCCCATGCTGAGCAGGAATTCTGGCTTCAGGGCAGGGTTGGGGGAGGGCCAGTCCAGCGGGGCTGTGAGGGCTCTCCCAGCCTGATATCCCGGTTGGCAGAGTCCTCGGCTACCCACCCAGCACCTGAGTGCCCCCTGCTTACCCTGACAGCCCGCTGGTGCTGGAGATGGAGCCCGGGTCTGGCCTGCTGGGGTGGGGAGGGGGAGAGGCATCTGGAACAGGGACGAAGTGGGGAGCAAGAATTCTTTCTGTTGCCACCAAACCTTAGTTTCTTTTCTCCTTCCTGCTGGAGATTTTCACAACCTGTTATTCAGGTTACAAAGTTGTCCAGCAAAGGTATGGGGAGAGAGGTTCTATTGCCCTGGACGCAGACTTAGTTGACTTAGGCGCAGACAAGGTGGCACCAGGGTAGTGTGTGCTCACGTGGGGAGGTGAGAGGGGAGGCTGGGAGAGTCAGGGTGGGGGTGCCTGAATCACTGTGCGTAGTCCTCCCTGATGGAGAGTCTGTTGTCCACCCTCACTGTCTTTGGGCTTCTCCCTCGGCCCTGCCCCTCCCATGGCCAACTTCTGATTTCTGGCAACAGGTCAGCATGGGCCCTTTCTTGTCAATGGCAGGCCTTGTCTCCTGCAGGCCTGGGAGGCTGAGCATTGAGGAAGTGCTCGATGAATGTTTGGACTGAATGAATTGGATTCTTGCATATCGGAAGGTTAGGATAACTAAACCATCAACAGAGAAGGAAGTGGAAGTTCAGAGGGGGCAAGCAACTGGTCGCACAGTCAGTTGTGGATTTTATTCCTGAAGGCTTCTCTGAACGTCTGTGGGAAGCCAGCTGGGCACCAGGCGTGGGGGATATGGCTGTGAGCAGGACATGCTCCGAAGTACCTCACGCCTTTGCACTTTCTAGGCCCTCTGTCTGAACACTGTTCTCCTGCTCTTTTGCCTAGAACATTCCACTTTTCCTTCAGGTCTCAGTGGAGAAATCACTTCTTCTGGGATCCCTTTCTTGGCCTTGAAAGTCAAGGTTAAACACCTACCGGTGGTCTTGGATGGGGACATATCCAGGCACCCCACCCTATCGGAAGGGCCTGGCCAATCAGAGCTTTGCAATTTCCTTGTGATTGGTTCAGGAGTGAGCATGTGACATGAGCAAGGTCAATCAGACTTTTTCCTGTGATGGATACAAGGAAACTGGGGCAAGAGAAGCTCTTTCCATCCCTGAGGTGCTAAGCTGGACTTCTGTAAGTCTGGGGCTCTGGGTTTCCTTTCTCAGCCACTGCAGTACTTCACCTCCTGTTGTAGGCAAGTCCTACCAGAAGATGCAAGCACAGGGGCCGAACAACTGGGTCTTGGTCTTAAAAGGATCAAGCAGCAAAAGCCTGTGATGTTGGGAAAGCGGGTGAATTTTGGGATCAGACTGACCTGGGTTTGCCAGTTACTAGTGTGTTTTTGGACATACCTCTCTGGGTCTTGACTTCCTCCTTTGTAAAATGAGGGTGATGCTCTCTACCTGTCTTGGGAGGGATGACAGGCAGTGAGGCTGCCTGCCTTGGAATGGGTTTGCAGGCCTGACAGCACCCCTTGTTTGTTCCCTGTGGACAGGCCCCACTCATTCCTGCTGTCTCTTGCTAGTGCACCTCTGTGGCAGGGTTCCTACATGGATGTTTGTTCTTTCTGTGGGCCCAAAATGCTGTCACTGCATCTCTCTGCCTGCTGGCTTGTGACGTTTCCTAATGTCCCTGCAGGAAATGGGACATCAGCGTCTTCCTGTTTCCTGTGGCTCTCTGCACACAGGTGCCTTTTATCTCAGCCATGACCTGTCCTAGCACCTACACAGAGGGAGGAGGGAAGCTCTCTCTCCTGGTTGGGAGGGCTGAGCAGCACACCCTGGTGGAGAAGCAAGTGGGTATTTTCGCTGCTTGGATCCTGGCTCTGGCCTTTACTGACACATTGAGAATGTCTCCATTAAGGGACCATGTCATCCCCATCAGGGTCATCCCTGATTTGGGGGCCAGCTTCCTCTCCAGGTAGCAGTTCTTGAGGGCTTTCTTCATTGGCAGCCTGGTGCCAGTTCCAAGGCACACAGTAGGCATGCTGGAAATGTTGTGTGAAGGAAGTAAGTGGCTTTCTATTTGGGAATGGAAACTAGGAGGAAAAAACTAGGAGGTGCTTCCTCCTTCTATATGGCTTCGTCCTTTTCACCTTATTCCCAACATGTTTCTCCCAAGTGGAAATCTGAGGTAGAGACTGAGGTAGAGAGGAATAAACAGAATGAAAAAGAAACAGACACTCAGAGACTGCACGTGACAGACATTTTGGCAAACATATAGGCACACATGCATGCACATAAACACATGTATGAATACACACACTTGTACACACTCAGGCAAGCACACACGTGAGTCAAGGCACTGCCAACAGTCCTGCCTGAAACCAGGCAGTGTGCAGCCCTCCTCAGACTCCGCCGTCCCTTGCCCTGAGTTTCTAGTTACCCCAAAAGTCATCCTGAACACCCTCGATCATTGCCCAGGTCTGTATGAAGTGATCAAAGTAAACAGAGGCCACCTTTCATTCTCTAAATGGTCCTTCTTGTAAACCACTAGTATTTATAGGCAATTATTGATCACATCACCAATACAGAGGGAGATAAACAGCAGATAAATCCATAAACAATATGTCTGGTAGCTAGAACAACTTGTTTATGATATTTATTTTGTAAAGAAATAAGTCCATTATTTCTACGATGCCCTGTTATAATTTTATTTATTGGCTTTAATGGTTTTCTCCAGCTCTGGCCAATGGTAGAATGATTGAGCCAGTCAGAACTGCATAGCAGGAAATGCAAGAAGACATGAAAAGGTGCAGGATTCTGAGGGTTTTTACTCTCCAAGTTCCTGG